ATAGCAGCAGGCAGCAAGCAGCATGGCTGGCAGGAGGAGGTGGTCAGCAGGGTGGCTGGTGGGAGCAGTGATGAGTGGCCAACAGAGTGAGTGAGAAGCCTGCTATCCACATCCTATCCCCAAGGGTGGGAAGTGAGCTCTGAAAATCGCCTCTGAGCTCTGATCTGCCCTGACCAAGGGCAGCAACTGCGAATGGGGTATGGAAAAAGTTTGGGAATGTGAATGGGACACTTACATTGCTGGACTTGTGAGCCTGAGAGGCAAAGGACAATGCTCAATCCATTTGAGTTGGAACATTTACTCGTGGTTTGGTTAGGGACTAACTTGGTGGTATTTTCCCAAGCTAATGCCATGTTACTTCTCTCCCTCTTCATTAAAAGTGTTTTTTTTATACTCAGACTGTGCTTGCAAGTGGGGAAACATTGCCTCTCAGAGGTGCCCTGGGCTTTGTGAATTTCTGAGGCTGCTGGGTGGGGGCTCAAGCCAGTTCTATGTGAGATGGACGAAACAAACCCCTAGATATTGGACCCAGCCCTGGCTGCTGTTGATGCTACCTGGCAGAAGGGTTACACTTCTATTGCCATAGTAGGATGAGATTGTGCAGCGAAAGGTCAGATTAGCTTTAACTGAACATTAACTACCTGCTTGGAAGATCTCTACAGTCACTTCCAAAGGGAAACTTTTAAACCCAGTCAGAAACTTGGCTCAGAGATTTGGGCTGCAAACAAGCTGCCTTGCAAGATGGGTTCATTGGGAGTAAGGAATCTCAGATACCTCATGCTGCAAATGTGCAATGCTGAAAGAATGAAAATATACATCAGCCGATTGTTCCATTATGGGAGTTGGGAATGAAATGTATCTGAATGAGGGCATGTATTAACCCCTAGGGAAAAAAATTGCTTTGCTTTCCCTGTGCCTGTTTTCTACTCCTGTGCTGGGTTGAAAGGTGTTCAGTGCATGCCCTTCCTGGAGACCAAGTACCACCATCACCATTCACTGATGCCCAACTCAGAGCTACCTTTGTAGGGTGCATGCGTGTCTGTATGACGTAACAGAAATAAAATACATTGATATGAGGTTATTACACACTACTGTGAGTCAGACTTTTCAGTGTGTCAGCATGATAGGGTCTGTGCAACCATGGAAGATGATCTCTGGAAGCAATGAAAGAATCTCACAGGGCACGGAGCTGTCCCATGGTATTAGTGCTGACGTAGGACAACTCCACTTTCTAGTGTAGACATACCCTGAATGAGGGCATGTACTAGTCCCTAGGGAAAAAAAATTCCTTTGCTTCCCCTGTGCCTGTTTTCTACTCCTATGCTGGGTTGGGAGACATTCAGTGCATGCCTTTTCTGGAGACCAAGTACCACCATCACCATTCACTGATGCCCAACTAAGAGCTACCTTTGTATGACATAACGGAAATAAAATACATTGATATTAAGTTATTACACACTATTGGTCTCCACTATGAGTCAGACTTTTCATTGTGTCATCCTGATAGGGTCTGTGCAACCATGGGAGGTGAACTCAGGGAGCAGTGAAAGAATCTCACAGTGCACGGAGCTGTCCCATGGTACTAATGCTGATATAGAACAACTCCACTATGTTTGTGCATCAATTTAAGAAAGATCAACCCAGGACTGAAATATGATCTTTCCCCAACGATCTGAGAGCAGATGAAATGTTACAACTGTTGTGAGCTGCCAGATATGTATCCACATTGGACCTCAAAAGAGATCCCATCAATTTAAGAAAGATCAACCCAGGATTGAAATATGATCATTCCCCAACACTGAGAGCTGGTGAAATGTTACAACGATCATGAGCTGCCAGATATGTATCAACATTGGACCTCAAAAGAGATCCTTGGAAATACTGCTAATCCCAGAATCTGGGTAGAAGAAAGCCTTTTCCATTCTCTTCAGCTTGTGTACATGCATCACCGAGGCTATTGGGGGCACAGCAGAGTGTCCATTCAGGGTGAATTGCTCAAAGATGGAGCTACATACAGGCCAGAACTGGGCTCCTCCATTAGAAGGCACACCGGACCCATCAGAAAAAGCACATCTGTTCACCACATTTGGTAACAATGCGCCATATAAGCAAGAAAGCATTTTCAAATTGTTCAAGGAGCCAATTACGTGCACCAATGGCCAAGTTTTTGGAGCAGGGGTGTAGCAGCGATGAAATAAATTGCTGGTTTAAGTCAAGTCTCTGGATTACAGAAATTGACAAATAGCCCTGTTCACTCTGGGTATGTCTACACTACCCCGCTAGTTCGAACTAGGGGGGTAATGTAGTCATCCACAGTTGCAAATGAAGCCCGGGATTTGAATTTCCCAGGCTTCATTTGCATGAAGCCGGCCGGCGCCATTTTTAAATGCTGGCTAGTTCGGACCCCGTGCTGCACAGCTACA